CGGAGGCCCGGAGGGCTGGGGTTTGCGGACTGAAGCCGGGCGGGAGAGCAGGTCGGGCGTCGGGCCCGGAGCCCAGCTGGGGCAGAGCCGCGCAGCTCGGAGCCCTTCACCCACCCGGCATCGTGCCGGGCGGCAGCTTCCAGAGCGGCTTGTTTAGGCGACTCTAGCTGACATCCACGCCCCCAGCTCAGGGCACAGCCCCTCCCCCAGCTCTCGGTGTCAGCTGAGAGCGCTGCCTCCTGCTGGGACCGAAGCGCCTTCCTTCTTGACGCCTCTGCAGTCCCGCCCGCGTGGGGTTTCCTAAGCTGAGCAGCAGGTGCCTGGCGGGTGCCCAGCCTCCGCCAGAGGCCACGCCTGGCGGGTCCCCCGCCAACCACCGAAAGCCATGGAGGGCCCGGGAGCACGTGTCCCAGGCTGCGCATCCCCACCCAGAACCTGCTGGACGGGAACCGGCCCCACGCGCCACACCTGAGGCCGCTCCCCCCGCCTCTTGTCCTCAGGCGCCGTCACCGGTCCCAGCCCAGTGGAGAGCTGTCGGGGCTGGAGGGTCATGGGGGAGCCCGGTAGAGAGGAGTACAAAATACAGTCTTTTGATGGCGAGACCCAGCAGCTGCTGAAGACAGCACTCAAAGGTGAGCAGGGGCGCCCCTCCTGAGCCGGGCTCAGCGGCTGCCGAGGAGGGGCCGCTGGGACAGCACCAGGGGACGGAGCCCTGGGGGCCGGGGGAGGATGCCTGGGAGCCTCCCCAGCTCCGTCTTCTTTTTCTGAGAATGGGAGTCAGCGACGTAATTCTTGAACTGGAAGACAAGCTACGTTTAGGCCAGTAGCGGGGAGTATGAAATTCTAGAGTCACCTCTCAGAATGTAAAGTCTTTTTTGCAAAGTTTCACCGTGGAAGAGAGCACGTCCTGCGCTTTCAACCCTTACACTTGAATTGCTGGTTCCAGCTCTCCTGAACGTGCAGAGCTGCCTGCACTTCCAGAAGATGGAGTGCTGGGCTTGGCGGAGATGCTGTAGTCATTGCCCTGGCCTGATGCCTTCCTGGCCTGATGCTGTAATTCTCAGGACTGAAGTTTGTCTCCAGATAACAATGAGCAAATCGGGTGTGTGTTGGCTCATGCCTGTAACCCCAGCACTTCGGGAGGCAGAGGCAAGAGGATTGCCAGAGCCCAGGGGTTCGAGACCAGCCTGGGCAACATGGCGAGCCCTCATCTCTACAATAAGTCACAAAAATCAGCCAGGCGTGGTGGCCTGTGTCTATGGTTCCAGCTATTTGGAAGGCTGAGGCAGAAGGATCACCTGAGCCCAGCAGGTCAAGGCTGCGGTGGCCGTGAGCGTGCCACTGCACTCCAGCCTTGGCGACAGAGTGAGAGTCCAACACAAAAAAACCCCCAAAACAGAGCGGTACCCACCATGTGCCAAGCCAAGCCTGGGGAAGGCTCTGTGTGGCCCGCTCTTGCCAGAGGCAAGAGTGTATTGTAAGAACACTCTTCTGTATTGTGTATTGTAAGAACACCTTCTTCTGTGAAATTGCTGTCCAAAACCTGCCATTCGATGCCCCTTCCTCAACCTAGTGCCAGGAGGCCATGTGTGTCCCGAGAAGCTTGTGTTCTTCCTTTGATGGGTCTCTGCCGGCCACATAACCCTCCCAGTTTTCCCTCTGATTGGGTAACCCAGAGGCAGGGTAACCCAGCTGCCCTGCCATGTGCTTGCTGCCCTCCTTCCCTGTGTTTTCTCTGAGCCGAAGGGCTCTATCGTAAATACCTCAGCTCCTTCTTCGAAGCAGGTGGAGGCAAATGTGATAAAGCGGCTCTAGACTCCCCTCCTTCTCTCCTAGATCCAGGTACCGTGGACTTGGAGAAAGTGGCCAATGTGATTGTGGACCATTCTCTGCAGGACTGTGTGTTCAGCAAGGAAGCAGGACGCATGTGCCACGCCATCATTCAGGTTGGGGGGTCGGGGGAGTCAAGGGAATACACTGAGGAAGGCTTCAGGAGTGGGCAGAAGGCCCGGCCTGCAGGACAGAGATGCAGAGGGCCTTGCTCGACGGCAGAGCGAGACACAGGACAGGCAGGGTTGCGAGGACTCCTGCCCCTCACTCTCCTCTCCCTGGCTCACAGGCAGAGAGTAAACAAGCAGGCCAGAGCGTCTTCCGGCGCGGACTCCTCAACCGGCTGCAACAGGAGTATCAGGCTCGGGAGCAGCTGCGTGCGCGCTCCCGGCAGGGCTGGGTCTGCTACGTCACCTTTATCTGCAATGTCTTTGACTACCTGAGGGTGAGACCCCCGCAGCCATCCTGGGATGTGAGGCGGCCTGTCTCCCACGGCCCCGGTCGGACTGCTTCCCTCAGCCACTGAGCCTGGTGCTCTGGCCTCCTCTCCCCTCACAGGTGAACAATATGCCCATGATGGCCCTGGTGAACCCCGTCTATGACTGCCTCTTCCGGCTGGCCCAGCCTGACAGTCTGAGCAAGGAGGAGGAGGTGGGTGGCCCGACACAGAAGGCTAGGGGGGTGGGCGGTCCGGCTCAGTCGAGTGCCAGCCTACCACCTCTGGAGACATCTGAGGGCATCGCTTCTGGGGCAGGAGCCTGGTGGGGGCGGTTAAGGCCTGTCAGTTACAGGACAAGCTGCCAGGTCTGGAATGAATCCAGGACGGGGCACAGCCAAAACCTACTGGCTCAGCGGCTTCGTTCGCAGTAGGAAAGCCAATCTCTGACAGCCATGGGGAGAGCTGCGGCCAGCAGTGGGTATGGGCAGCCCGGAAACCAAGCCAGGGTCAGGCAGTGTCAGGGAAGTAAGGCGGGATGAGGCAGCTGGACACAGTCTTGAGTCCAGCCTGGCTGAGGGTCCATGGCAAGTCCCTGCACTTGCTTCCCAAGTAAGATGTGAATACTACCTGCTGGGAGTCGTGAGCATGAAGCAAAGGAATGTACGAAGCACCAAGCATGGTGCAGGGCACCCAGCAAGCGCTCAGCACATGCTCTGACAGGCTGGCCCTGCCTGGAGTTCACCGGGGTCACCTCTGCTGCCCTCTGCAGGTGGACTGCTTGGTGCTGCAGCTGCACCGGGTCGGGGAGCAGCTGGAGAAGATGAATGGGCAGCGCATGGATGAACTCTTTGTCCTCATCCGGGATGGCTTCCTACTCCCAGTTGGCCTCAGCTCCCTGGCCCAGCTGCTGCTACTGGAGATCATCGAGTTCCGGGCGGCTGGCTGGAAGACAACTCTGGCTGCCCACAAGTATTACTACAGTGAGGTCTCAGACTAGGCTTCCCGACCAGCAGCATCAGCCTTTCTTCTACCCACCGCCCAGCTGGCAGTGGTCTCTGCCTTTCCCAAACACTTTTTCTCTTCCAGACTTGGCCATCTTCTGGTGAGATGTTCCCCACTGATGCCATGGTCCTGTCTGAGCCCCTCTGGGGAAGATGCCAAACACACCCGGTCTCCAGGCTCAAGGCTATCTCCCCTCCCTCCACCACTTCTCACCTGGGCCAGGCAGAGAAGGGCAACTGCTAACAACCACTACACTGCATAACCACAGGTGCAGCAGCTACCTTGGTGCCTCAGTCTCCCCACCTATAAAATGGGTAACCATAGCCAGTGGTGGAATGCTTTGGGACGTCAAGGGGCAGAGGCAGAGCACAAATCACACCAAAACTGCTTTTTATATATTTTGTACAAGGACCACTTTGGAAACGAGCATATTTCCGCCAGTCAGTTTTAATGGTAGCACTGGGTCACATGCTATACCGGTCCAGTGTGAACATTTTCTAATAAATCTTTTCTGATACTAAAAATGCTCCCTCTTATATTATCTAAAGGTCCACCCCAAGCTGAGGGATGAGAAGCCTGGGCCCCGAGTTTCTTGAAGGAAATCCCCAAATTGATGATCCCCCTTTACAAGGAGACATGGCAGGGAGAACAAGTTCTAGCCTCAAAAAAAAAATGATTTATGGGCAATAATCATGCTGCTCCATCCTTCTCACGAGAACTGCCGGCCCTTAAAAAGGAACCAGATCCTTAAGCCACAGGTATTTTTCATCGTGGCTGTGGCTGTTTCTTGCGGGAGAGGGCCCTGGGCTCCTCCTGGGACTTCTACCACCAACGGTAATGGGCCAGGGCACGGTTGGCCTCAGCCATCTTGTGCATGTCATGCTTCCTCTTGATCACGGGGCCCTGGTTGCGAAAAGCCTCCAGCAGCTCATGTGACAGCTTCTCCGGCATCAGCGTCCGCCGGTGCTTCTTCTCCCGGCACTCAGTGATCATCCACTTCATGGCCAAGAAGCGGCGACGTCGGTCAGTTAGGGGCACAGGGACCTGGGTAAGACAGGAAACAGGCAAGTCAGTCCAATGGCCTACCAGGGCTGGGGCCTCCTGCCTCCCTAAGCTCTGAGAAGTGGCCACATGTTCCCTGTGTATTAGCCCTGGTCACCTTGGGTGACCTCAGTGTAGCAGACATAGCAGGTGTTTATTCAGCACACATCAAGCACTGGCACTGATACATGCACCAAATGGGAAAAGCCCCACTAACTGGGGTGACTACCTCAGACCATGGATGTTCAAAACAAGACCCTTTGTTCAAGAATCATTTGCTGGGCCCTCACTGTGTACCAGATACCATACCAGACACTACAGAGACAGACTACTTTTTCTGAGTCAGAGTCTCACTCTGTCGTCCAGGCTGGAGTGCAGTGGCACACTCACGGCCACCACAGCCTCTACCTGCTGGGCTCAG